TTTGCCTACCCTGAACTCCATGAAGTACCAGAGCCTTAGCTGCCACAGCAAGTGTTCAGAGACATATTTTTTTTAAATCGCTTTCTTTTTCCCCAGAACCTAAGGGGGGAAGGGAAGGGTTGGCTCCTCAGTGAGAAGCTGTCTATCCTCAAACTTCAGCTCTGTTAAGAAGAAAAAAAAAACAAAAAACAAACTATGTGTACAAAAGCACAGCTAAATTCTTCCTCCCCTCCCATAACATGGGATTACTAAAGGAATTCTGTTCAAGTGTTCTACATCCCTTTTCTTAAATCTTTAGAGATCAATTAGGAAAAAAGTATATAAAATTTAATTCATTCTTGAAAATTGTGAACACCTGGAACTGAAGTTGCAACGGAAACTAATCAGAAGATGCTGCCAGCATTTATACTTCAAGATACACTGTTTATTTTAAAATAACACTGGATATTTTATCAGCTCTTCTTGCAAGCAACATACAAGACCTCACTGCTTAGAAAAGGACAGACCTTTCTCCTCATTTGTTTACTGTGAACATTTGACATCATTTTGCACAGAATCATTTTCACTGTTTTCCCTCATTTTTCATGAGGAATAAGAGGGAACAAAAACAAACAAAAAACCTAAGAAAAAGAACTGTGCTATTATATAGTAAAAAAATCACCCAGCTGAAATACAGCACCTGAGATTTTAACACAATATTCGTTAAGTTACACCTCTCGAAAAGCTCACAGACGGCAGACATTCATTCACTGCACTGCAATGACTTCATCCCCGCCTTGGAGTTCTTGAAGTTACTACTTAGTTTAACAGTAGTACCTTCAAAGTTGCTATCCAGTTTTCATTACCACTAACCCAAAGAGAACAGGGTATTATTCAAGCAGCTGGTACAGTGCTTAGCAAAGGTACACACAGGAATGCACCTCGACATATTTCTCGGGTACCTGAGAAACAGTGACTGACTAAGGAGCTGCTGGAGGTGCGGGGACCACAGGAGGGCCCGGCAGATTCGGCGGCGCCCTGCCCGCCGCAGCTTGTCCTCCCGCAGCCCCGGGACAACTCGACTTTCGAAGTTTCTCAGCGGATGCCCTGACGGCCGAGGGGCACCCCAGCAACTCTCAGCCCCCC